TGATAATTTCACTGATTCATTTGAAGAAAAATCATAAACATCTTTCCAGTTAGCACTTCACTAAGAGAAAAGAACAAACAGAAACATACATCAGAAAGCTCTTTCTCAGAACTATGACATCTTTCAAGGTATAGCATGAATCGAACCCATAGCTCTCCAACCCATGGACAATTCCTTGTAGCCCTATTATAAATATCCCTCAAAGTTTTATCTGCCTGGTAATTAAAAAATATATATATAAGAACATTATAGTTTAGAGAGTAAAAATTTTAAACCACAAAAACAAGAATAAATTAACTAAAACCTTTAGGGTCTTATTAAGGTAGTTAGTGTAATCAATCCAGAGATCACTGGATATAGGAAATTCAGTTATTGCACGTTCATATAAGCTTTTAACTCGAGGTTCATATATGCTTTTAACTCGAATAGGATCTCCAGATGACTGTTCAAATTTCAGATAAGCCTGCAGTAACAAAACAAATATCATTAGGGTTTAGGGTAACAATATCAGTGATAACTAAGTCAAAACTGTGCACCATAAAGCTTTGAAGGCGCTCAGTATCAGTCTCATCACTTTTTACTATCTTTTCTTCAAAGTCAGCACGTAAAGTCAACATCTCTAAAGCCTTCTGATATGTGGAAGCAACTTGAGGGGACAATCCATCTGTATTGCTGCTACTGATATCAAGAGTATTCCCATGTTTAGACTCCCATGTCTTGTAGGTCAAAAGAGTTGACTTTAAGTCCGAATGAGTAATTGACAGCTGGCGATGATATATACTTCGAATCCTTTGAACCTGCTTTTCCCTCAACTGTGAAACAAACAAAAGATCAAGAACTGTAAAGTATTCAATGTGCTAAAGAAGAGCAACAACAGTTGAATGATGTTCATACCTCAGAGTCTGTCTTATCCATGCCATCTAGGATCATTTCCTCATAACTTCTGTATGCTTCCCATATTTTACAGCCTTCAGTAACATGCAATCCACATGCAGTGAGAGCGCGTTCAAATAGATCCCTTGCCTTTGAGATTCCACTGGGTGAACATTCACGGACAGAAGAATCATATTTTTGAATGAAACTCAGGTAGTCATACCACAGAGAAACGGACTGCAGAAAGCAATCAATCATTTCAGTTTTGATGAATGACAATTCACCACTGAAGATGAAAATCAGCATAGTCAAAACTCAAAATACAAATTTCATAGCCATGAATGTAACATTAAGAAGGGCACTGAAACAAAAGTTTTGGAAATGTGTGGAGCTTACCAAGTAATCAGATACTGCACGCTCATATAGCTTCTCAACAGTTGGAATTGCCCCCTCATTCCTGCATTATGTACAACAAATTATAACCAGTCACGAGTTCTATTTTCTGATGGTGTTCATAAGGTTTTGAATGTGCTTATTGTTCCTGCACACGACAAGGAATCCTCATTCTAATCATCCGGCATCCTCTTCTTCTTGAAAGAGAATAAAAGTTTGTACAAAGAAGAGGAAACAAAAGCCTACCCAGAAGTCAAGGTGAGTGAAATTTCGTCATTTGCCCATTGCTGCCACATTGCAGGAGTTAGCGGGAACAGCTCACTCATGGCCTCCCTTGCAAGCCGCAGCTTATCAATATCGCCTTGTTTCCTCAAAGCCTTTATATACTGCATATGCACACCATACATTAGAACAATACGTAATAACTACACTCAGTTTCAACACATAACTCCAAACAAATAAAAATAATCAGACATACTTGAACATGAGCATCGTAGTTGGCTGGGTTTGTCGAGAGCTCCGTTTCTAGGGTTTGTAATTCGAGAGCAGCTTGAGCTTCGTCGTCCGACTCCGAGTCGGAATCGGAACTTGAGGCAGACTGGTTATCATTAGGGTTATGAGGTTCGGTTACAACATCCATTGGATCCCCGTCAGATGGTGGTGGTTCAGATGATGTAACTAGGGTTTCGTCCATTTGGTGATGTTGTTGGTGTAACGACACTGGAGGAGGCCGTATGTTGTGTAGCCTATGGTAACGTCGATGCCGTTTGATTTGCTAGAGACCGCTGTTCCACCGTTTTAATGCCGTTCCAATACGACCTCTAAATCATCATGCCCAATTTTACTCCGATCAATCTTCAAAAATTACATTAGTTTTGATTGGTTTTTTAACACCAAAGTCGGTTGAAGATTGAAATGCAATAATTTACTAAAATAGTATAAAATAATCATCATTTTGATGCGATAAAATTTGACATTAATGAATGTTTTAACTTTGTCACCGTATGTTCAATATAATGGGTTTCGTTCGAGCGCTCGAAAATAATATTCCAAAGCTTTCGTATGTTCTCCGTTACTTGTGTGGATAAGTCCTATGTTATAGAGTATATAACTTCGGTCATAGGGATCAATTTCTAGTCGCATAGCTTCATAATAATTCTGTAAAGCTTCCGCATAATTTCCTTCGGATTGAGCTGACATCCGTTACGGTCGTCATTCAATTCAAAGAATCTCCGTTACAGAACCATACATGAGATTTTCATCGCATACGGCTCCTCCCTTATGTGCATAATGATAAAATGATAAATAAGATGAAAATCTTATCATTATGAACTGAGTAGGGCTAGTGTTTTTACAAGAAATCTCTAGCCAACCTTCCTGCAAGAGATCCTTTCTTAACATCAAACGTATTGGTACTAGAGAGAAATGATAACTCCAACAATTTCTTTGTTCTCAACGCTTCCCAATTTCCAGGAATTAGTCACTTCAACAGCCTTCGATGGTTATACGGGTATCCAAAATACAAACGAGATGGATGTTTGTTGTCCCAACCATTCTTTTAATCCCAAGCCTGCTAAAGAAAAGGATAATTTATAACAAAGTTTTCGTGTTGTTGATTCCTAGATGTAGTGCTTCTTCCCCTCTGCTGCCTATTGGTACTAGTGGACTAGGATTGACCTGTAATACCATAGGTATAACCTTTCGCTCAATACTAGAATCGAGAATTGAAACATAGCATCTGAGGCTGCATTAATCGAGGATACACGACAGAAGGAATTGTTCTATTTCCAAACTTTACCTTCAACAAGCGTAGATTTTTTTCTTTTTTTCCCCATCACGAATCATGTGTATTTCTCGTAAGACTGAGATTAATAAAAAAAAGTCAAATCGCACCATCTCTGTAATAGGTAAATGCCTCTTTTTCTCCTGAAGTTGTCGGAATTATTCGTAATAAGATATTGGCTACAATTGAAAAGGTTTTATCAATAAAATTTCCATTTATCCGCGATCTAGGCATAGGTAGCAATCCATTCTATCATTGTTCTCATTACTTCTCGCGGGAAAATAATCCCACAAGGAAAAGAATTCTACAGTACGAAATAACATAAAAACAGATTGATTCTCATTAAAAAAACAAAAAAGATATAGTTCTTCTATTCAAAAATTCAATATTCAAATTGTTATTTTTTACATTACAGGAATTGATAAAAACTAAGAAAGAAATATGGTAATCGGATTCGATTCCATCTTACTGGAATAGTCTACCAACGAAAGAAACTATTCTTATTTGATTGAAGTTACAGCTTAGAATAACCTCAGTTGATTTAATTATGATACAAAGAAGAAAAAGGATCGAATAATCATTGTATGATGAAAATAGAATAACCGCCTATTTTTTTGTGTTGTGTACTTAGGGGTATACACTATACAATCAACTATAAAAAAATTGTTTATCAATTTCTATTTGTAATAGATAGATGGGATAAGGATTTGTGTTGATAACTCTAAAACTGGTCTAGAAAGGAATTTGAGAATTCTTATGATATGGAATCGTAGTCTAAATCGAATCATGATCTAAAGATATCCATTAACCATAGTCTACAAAATATAAATCCCTCGCTCAGTTGATTCATTAGAATTTCTAATTTATTGATTTAATCCGGTCGGTATAGTATAAATATATAAATAGAGAATTCAGAAAAAGAAGAGAACATTGTTTTTGCAAACATGAATAGAATTTTTTGAACAGTTTTTGTAAGAAAAAATTTTTATCTTTATCCCCCAGCCTAGAAGGAAAGATACTTCTTTTACTATGATGAAAAATTTTCGATTTTGATCGCTTTATAGTTAGAGTTGATTGGTTGTACCTACCCAATAATCTATAATGATTCACTATTCACTCGATTTTAGTTTTTTGGGTCATAATCATTATGTAGGAGAGATGGCCGAGTGGTTGAAGGCGTAGCATTGGAACTGCTATGTAGGCTTTTGCTTACCGAGGGTTCGAATCCCTCTCTTTCCTTTCCGTACCTTCACCTAATTCATCGATCTTACTAACCACAATAGATCAAATAGCAATGGATACGACTATTCCAACAGTTAGACCTTTCGTTGATATGGATTCTCTATTCCTAATGGCTGTGGTACAGAAAATACTGTGTAAACGAAAAGAGTAGAGTAGACAAGGAATGAAAATCTCCCTCTCGGTCTATGATACCTAAATGGAAGAAAAATCCGGATCAAACCCTTATTTATCTTAACCTTAGGTTAATTTACTTCGCCGAAAGGGAGCAAAATGGGTCGAACCCTTATTCTTCCTTATTCTTATTAGTGTTGATTTTATTTTTGTTAGGTTTAAGTCTGACGAGAATAATATTCTACAACTAGCAATTCATTTATTTTCAAACCGACCCATTTACTATCTATTATTTGATTGACTAATCCTTTATATTGGAATGGTTGAAGAGTCAAATGGTTTGGCAATTCCTCATGGGGGGATGAATCGAGAGAATTTTGAATTAGAACTTTAGATTTTTGTTCATCCCTCGCCGCAATAGTATCTCGGGGTTTGCAGCGATAACTTGGTATATCTACTATACGACCATTGACTAAAATATGTCTATGGTTAACTAATTGGCGAGCTCCCGGAATAGTCGGAGCCATACCCAAGCGAAAAAGAATGTTATCAAGGCTTTCGAGATTTTTTACTTTATTGTTATATTATGAATATGAGAATGAATCCTACTACTTCTGGTTCTGGGGTTACCACGCTTGACAAAAAGACACTGGGGCGTATCGCCCAAATCATTGGTCCGGTACTAGATGTAGCCTTTCCGCCAGGCAAAATGCCTAATATTTATAACGCTCTGGTAGTTAAGGGTCGAGATACTGCTGGTCAACCAATTAATGTGACTTGTGAGGTACAACAATTATTAGGAAACAATCGAGTTAGGGCCGTAGCTATGAGTGCTACAGATGGTCTAACGAGAGGGATGGACGTAATTGATACGGGAGCTCCACTAAGTGTTCCGGTCGGTGGAGCGACTCTCGGACGAATTTTCAACGTGCTTGGCGAGCCTGTTGATAATTTAGGTCCTGTAGATACTAGTACAACATTTCCTATTCATAGATCTGCGCCTGCCTTTATACAGTTAGATACAAAATTATCTATTTTTGAAACCGGAATTAAAGTAGTAGATCTTTTAGCCCCTTATCGCCGTGGAGGAAAAATCGGACTATTCGGGGGAGCTGGCGTGGGTAAAACAGTACTCATTATGGAATTGATTAACAATATTGCCAAAGCTCACGGAGGCGTATCTGTATTTGGCGGAGTCGGTGAACGGACTCGTGAAGGAAATGATCTTTACATGGAAATGAAAGAATCTGGAGTAATTAATGAAAAAAATATTCCAGAATCAAAAGTAGCTCTAGTTTACGGTCAGATGAATGAACCGCCGGGAGCTCGTATGAGAGTTGGTTTGACTGCCCTAACTATGGCGGAATATTTCCGAGATGTTAATGAACAAGATGTACTTTTATTTATTGACAATATCTTTCGTTTTGTCCAAGCAGGATCTGAAGTATCCGCCTTGTTGGGTAGAATGCCTTCCGCTGTGGGTTATCAACCTACCCTTAGTACCGAAATGGGTTCTTTACAAGAAAGAATTACTTCTACCAAAGAAGGGTCCATAACTTCTATTCAAGCTGTTTATGTACCTGCAGATGATTTGACCGACCCTGCTCCTGCTACGACATTTGCACATTTAGATGCTACTACCGTACTATCAAGGGGATTAGCCGCCAAAGGTATCTATCCAGCAGTAGATCCTTTAGATTCAACGTCAACTATGCTACAACCCCGGATCGTTGGTGAAGAACATTATGACACTGCACAAGAGGTTAAGCAAACTTTACAACGTTACAAAGAACTTCAAGATATTATAGCTATTCTTGGATTGGACGAATTATCCGAAGAGGATCGTTTAACCGTAGCAAGAGCGCGAAAAATTGAGCGTTTCTTATCACAACCTTTTTTGTAGCAGAAGTATTTACGGGTTCTCCGGGAAAATATGTTGGTTTAGCAGAAACAATTAGAGGCTTTCAATTAATCCTTTCCGGAGAATTAGATGGTCTTCCTGAACAGGCCTTTTATTTGGTAGGTAACATCGATGAAGCTACGGCGAAGGCTATGAACTTAGAAATGGAGAGCAATTTGAAGAAATGACCTTAAATCTTTGTGTACTGACCCCTAATCGAATAGTTTGGGATTCAGAAGTGAAAGAAATCATTTTATCTACTAATAGTGGACAAATTGATTGTTTTTAGCTTTGTCATTTTTGTTCATCAAGACCATCCCCATGCCAACGGGGTGAAAAGCTTCTTGGTCAACAACACCACCATTATAAAACCACCACATGTGGTGCTAGTATATTATAATGGTGAATAAAAGAGAGGATAAGAGGGTTGCAAGAGAGAAGAAAAAAAATGATTGGTCGTAGTGAAATATGATCGGGAATATAATGGATACGAAGGTGGCACTACAAGGCACACGAAGTGTATGCACGCTTGTGATGCATGTCCACATGGCTACCATAAAGCCTTCGTGGTATGTATACAGCAAGGAATAAATATCAAAAATGCTAAATTAATGGTCAATGTTATTGTTACTATTACCTATGGAACTATAGGTTTTGATCTTATTTGGTTATTAATGTTTTTTTATTGTATACAAGTACACTCCTTATTCCCTAGTTTCACTAGTGTTATAAGGATGAGTATGTCCACAAAGATATATTGATTGGATATAATTTTTTTCACAATTGAAAAAAATGAACCCTAGATCGGTCACACTTGCACCTCTTCTTCTCCAGGTTGCCACCTTTTCTTTGTAACGATCCAATTTTCAAGGTAAAATTTTCATTTTAGAATAAGCAAACATGATGTCATACATTAAGAAATCCAATTATAATTGTTTTCAAAACATAAGTCTAATACAACTTTTATTCCAAACATCAAAGTGTCCCAAAAAGTCTGTGAGAGAGTGCACGCCGCGCCATCACGCCTTGCCCTTGGAATCTGAAGTACCTGAAACCATAAACAAACATGTAAGCACGAAGCTTAGTGAGTTTCCCCCAGAGCATACACCACATAACAATCACATAACATGTAAGCTATATAAGCTACTTCTACAACATACACATATCAATCAGTTATTAAGCTATCTATACCACATACACATATTAATCAGCTATAAAGATATCTCTACCACATGACACATATCAATTAGCTATAATGTTATCTCTACCATTAACCACAAGGTTATCTCTACCCTCAGTCATACAGGCTATCTCTACCATTAGCCCTAATGGCTATCTTTACCATTAGTCATATGTAACGTCCGCGTTTTCAGGCTAGGCATTTTTATTGATGTAATAGTCTATGTTAACCCTTGTAACTATTTTTAAAGTATTAATGATGGAATATTTGAGTATTATGTGAATTATGTGAATTATGTGTTTATTTTCTTAATTATTATAATTTAATGAATTAAGAATAAAGTAAGCGTCAAATTTGAAGTGTGGGATAATCCCAATATCTTTACATAAATATGTAGTGGTTGAATCAAGGATTCCAAAGATATAAAGAATGTCGAAATCCGAGTTATAACGAAGAAGTTATGACATGTCGAAGTTTCGCGACAGAACCGACAACGTTGAATGACGTAAAAAAGTGAAATTTACGTTAGAGCAATATTTAGCCTTAGTGATCTAAATGAAAGTCGTAGATTTTGTTAAACCGAGAGTGTGCATAAAAAGAACTCCAAAATCTGACTTCGTATGAGGAAGTTATGATTTTTCGAAGTTTCGACTTAGCAGTATGCAGCCCGAATACTCGATTTGAGACCGAGCGGTTTTTAGCCGAAATAATCTAAATGAGAATTGAAGAACTCATTAATTGTAGTAAAACAATAAAAAGATAGGCGAAAACGGATGTCGGATGAAGAAGTTATGATTTTATAACGGAGTTTTCCTGTCTCGGCCTACTAAAAATAAATCAAAATTAGCCGACGGAGTCTAAACGAAAGTTGTAGATCGTAGTCTCACCTACGTGGGGATATAAAGAACGTCGAAAACGGAGTTCGTATGAGGAAGATATGTATTTTTGAAGTTTATTAAATATTTTCGATATTTTATTTATATATAAATTCCGATATTATCCGAAGGGGGGGGGGGGGATCAGCGATCTTATCGTCGTTACGCCCAGCGTAACTAGGATTTACGCCCAGCGTAAATCGACCTTCCAACTGGTTGGAATGTCAAGCCCACCAAGCAAATTACACCCTTTGATTTCTAAATAAACGTAATGTAATGGTAAAAAGGAGTATCGATCCTCGGGGAAATGGTTGTATTCAATCACCAATGCAATTCAATAAAACTAGTGAAATTAAACTAACTACAATTAAACTAAAAGAAGGGTGTTTGATTTTACTTGAAAACTAAAATAATTGAATAACTAAAAACCTTGCAATTAAGCAAGTTGATGAGATGCTCAAAGATTTGGAATAATTGGTTAACTAAGGCAATTCAACACAATGAACATTTGTGTGTTTATCATTAGGATCTAATACAAAGCTTATCCTTCATCCCAAATTGGTTATAACAATCATGAAGCATGATATGTCAAGATTCCTCATAGGTAGTATGGAGGTTGGGGAAGCCCACAACACACCTTCTTAATTAAGATCAAGGGTCAATTGAAGCAATTAATCCCAAGAAATCAATTAGCCTTAAGAATGAAGGAATCCCTAATTCCTAGAGGATGTCAAATGCTTACACATCCATAAAGGAGATATGATTCATAAGCTAGAGATGATTTCTACCAACATAAAGCCTTTATTCTAGATAAATTCAATGATCCAATGCAAAATCAATGAAATAAATCAACCATTGCTCAATCAAATACTAAGCTCATGATCTAAGCATCAAATAAGCATAAGAATTGCAAACTAGAATCATAAACATGGAATAAATTGATAATCAACATAAATCCTTCAAAAACCACAAACATTCATTGGTTTTCAGCCAAAGTCAACCAAATAAGAGTATTAGCCACTCATGGCAACAAAGTAACAAGAATAATAATCTAATTGCATAAAGAAACTACCTAAGATTTGGAAAGATGAAAGGAAATGATTTCTAGCTCCCAAAATCGCCTCTTGCAGATCTCCAATGGTTGAAAATCGTGAATGAGCTTCTAGATCTGATCCCCAAGGGTTATGGCAAGCCAAATGACCAAAATGCCCAAACTGGGCAGTTGCGCGGGTACCCGCGCGATGAAAATTCCACCCGCGCAAATGTTGCTGTAATGTTATTGGTCTACCAAGCCACTCCACCCTTCCACTACCAAAGATTCCTTTGGTCCTCATCCTTGTCCATGTAATTTGAAATGCACCAATCATCATTTATACGAAAATACGTGTTATGTGTATATTTTGTTGTTATGTGTGTGAATGTATATTCACTTTCTTCTATCTTATAGATCTGATTATTTCTCTATGAAATACGTGTTATGTGTGTGTGCCTCATCTGTTATGTGGAAAATGTATTGATTGAGCATACTATACAGGTTTTGAAACTATGTATAAAAAATTGTATGTTTTATCTACTAATATGTTGGGTAGAACATGGGTAGATAAATGGTGTGTAATAAACAGATGAGAGGCCTCGATGTTGTTTTGATCCAGTCATCTAGCGGAATTTAGATGACGACCACAGACTTTTCTAGACAGTCCACTGGAATGCTAGCAGGCTCATAACCTGTAGGTGTTAATGAACTTGGGTGTTCATTCGCTGTATTCCATCCCCCTCATGGTTGCCTTATTTGACATATATTGCCGGGAACCCCCCCGAATGCATGTGTTGTCGCCCCGATGAAATATTCTAAGACTAGGTCCCTTGTGTTAGTTGTTTTAGGGACATAAAGTGAGAATAACGGGAATGGGTAATTGGGTTATTGTTGGTTGGTGGAAATTAAATATAATTATTTATTGTGGGTTGAAAACCCTATATGCTCACCAGGCTCCCAAGCCTGACCCACTCAGTTTTATTTGTATTACAGGAAGTGGCGCAAGGGCATAATATGGATGAACCATCAAGTTGTTTTGTTTACAAGTCTGTATATATGTATATATTTGTTGAATGACTTGTAATGTTATCGTTTATGCTTTATGGTCTGTATCGGAACATGACATCCCGAGTTTTGATTATATAAGGAAAATACATTTCTTTTATGAAATGCTTTGGTAAATATTATTTTATCACGTTTTGTTTTTATGAACAAATTCCGCAACTCTTTCAAATCAAAAGGATTTACTCTGAAATTATTTTAAAAGCATAAATGAAAATCGGTATTTTTTGGCCGAGATTTTGGGGATGTCACATCATACAGGCTATCTCTACCATTAGCCATACGGACTATCTTTACCACATATCAATCATAAACATGCCACACACCTCTATACAACAAGTATACCAACTATCATAAAATGGGTCGGTCTTGGTGCCTTAGACCCATTGCTATGGTGAGAAGACTTGCCTCGCACTAACGAAACTTCCCCCACGAATTCCCTCGCTGCTACCTTGCCACCTGTAGCACGGGTGTGCGGGTTATCTTGCGTACGTGGAGGATACACGGGTTGGCAGCCCATCTCCAGTTTCATATGTCCCATTAATCAGGGCGTTCGTCGACATGTTTCCGGATGAGTTACCCAGAATACCTTCGGAGAGGCAGGTCGAGTTCAGGATCGACCTGGTGTTGGGTACGACCCATGTGGCTAAGCACCGTACCGACTGGTACCACCAGAGATGCAAGAGTTGTCATCACAGCTGCAGGAGCTGCTAGGGAATCAGTTCATCCATCCGAGCAGTTCTCCATAGGGAGCCCCGATAATCTTCATAAAGAAGAAGGATGGATCTCATCGGATGTGCATAGACTATAAGGATTTGAACAGGTTAACGATGAAGAACTGTTACCCACTCCC